ATTTTATTTGCACGGCGACAAAGCGGGTATACTGTACAACCTGCATATTACAAATGTTGCGTTATCAGTTTATCTACGCCAAATTTCAGGGTGGTAACGAAAGCGAAAGTAGATCTTGATTTTCCCGATCGAGCATCGGTGTCACATACACTTCCACCTGCCACCATAGCCGGCTTTTTTGCGTGAAACGTACTCTCGGACGGGGAAAAGGTGAACGAATAATTATATCACAATCGCGACCTGCAAAACCGGAGTCGTGTACCGTGGCTAGGGTTCACTGAAAAGTCTTGCTGGCTTCATCACTCAGTATGCAGGCTAATTTACGACCGTTTACCAAATTTGTACTACCTTCAAGGCAAATTTACTACCATTTACGACCTTTACGACTAGGGGGCCGAATTTACGACTTTTTTCACAACTTTACGACTTTGCTGGTCACCCTGCACCTTTTATGTCCATATATAAAACACATTTCTGTGTGGATTTTACTGGGAAAAGTTCATCAAAGGCACAAAAAATGTAAATTGGCAGTTTTCAAGGACACTCAAGCTTTGAAAATCTCCAAACTTTGGGGGTCTTTTTCTCACAAATGTAACTTTTGACACTAGACAACTCCCATCTGCCTTCAGTCACAAATGTCTCTACTTCTATTCAAGATAGACATGTATTTTTTTCATTAAAAGCAAGGTAAACGAGGAGACTTTAAGATTAAACAAACCTGCCACTCTGTGGTATCTCAAAATCAGGATCTCAGGGGGAAAAAATCGGGATCAACGACAAATTGCCAAGGTAACTACCAAGCAGACTTTAAAATTTTCCAGGGGTGTCCATAAATACACCCATGTATATGCCTTTTGAGTGTGTGCGTATGCGTGCATGCGTGCATTTGTGTGTGAGTGTGTGCGTGCGTGCTTGTGTGTTATTTTTTTTTTAAATCCTGAAGTATCACGTCAAGGACTCCTTGCCCAAGTGTCTACCCTACCCCCCTAACAGGAGAACTATGAATAGTATTGATCATTTGTATGTTCCAAGTGAAACAGTTATTAGGCCATCATCAGAGAATTAATAATAATAATAATAATTCTGAGTGGAAACAAAAGCGAAAGTAGATCTTGAGAATGTGCCAAGTCGAAAAGCCAAATCGATACTACTTTCGTTAGGTATAGCGGAAATGACACGTGCGAGCTCAGATCCAACACAACTTGGGGCAAGTCAACTACTAAATCCAGCATCGATATTTCGGAAAATAGTGCTCCGAGTTTCTGCAGACAAAAAGTTTAATGGGTGCTTGTGGTGACAGAGAAGAAGGCAGAGTAAATTTTTTAGAAAAATCCAGCGCATCAGACGGCACCAAAAAAAAATAATTGGGATACGTGAGATCAAAATAGGGAAAATCTGGATGCTTGAGATTTGAGGGGAAAAATAGGGATATACTGATTACATCGGGACGAATGTCAGGTCTGGATTATACCAATAACTCCATACGCCAAAAATTGATGAGCACCTGATTGAAAAAAGGGTTATTACCACTGGACGTTCCCAGCATCCGATGGGGTTCAAAGAGTTAAGTACCACCTCTCCTTAAATAGACAACGCCCTCTTGGTCGGCATTCTGGACTAGAAATGGATCCTGAAGGAATAAGTTAATGTTATTTCACATCCTAGCTCAGAGCTGACCCCGCTGACCTTTGGGAGGTTTTCTCCGGAACTCACATAAACACACTCGCCCCTCACTCCCACATGCCCACCCACACCCACACACATACACCACGGACTTTTAATTTTTGGGGGAATCATGATTGAAAGCATAAACCATGAGTATCAGATCAAACCTTTTTACAAGCCTGATAAAGTCATTACAAAAAGCAATAGAAGTTTCTATAACGGTGCTACACATTTCTGCACATCAACAGTAGTAAGAAAACAGACCTCTCGTGACCTCATGAGGTAGCGCACCAGTCGACCCCGCAGCACACCCAGCGTCTGGCTGTCAAAGTCTGGCATGCTGATACCTGGGGAAATAATCCATCAAAACTGAGTGTTTTACTTCTCCACTGACACACTTTTAGCCATTTAGAAGGTGGGTTGCTTCAACCTTGCCTGCCAAGGCCAAACTGACTTGAGCGGAAAACAGCGTCCAAGCGACAAAAAGATTTATATACTTGATAAAATGACTTCCCCATCCCTGTAAAATTAATTATAATAGCTACATCACAGATGCCAGTGCTGAAAACTGATCAAATACAGAAATGTGCAGACATAAGGAAAAAGTCAACTGACAACGTACATGAGCAGACAAAAAAAACTACAGAATTTCTTAACAGATAAAGAAAAGGAAGAAGGCCAGAGAAAAGGATGAAAGAGAACGTCACTATGAGAAAGAACTCAAATAAAAAAAATAGATGGCTTTAGAAAAACTTAGAAGATCTCAAAGCGGACAGAGCAGCTGACAATGTTTTAATCCTGTCATGTGTCCTCGCTTTTTTAAAGTTTTTGTTGGGGTTTTTTGGTTGGGGTTTTTTTTTTTGGGGGGGGGGGTGGAATGGGATGTCGAACACAACACTAGCTACAAACATTCTAGGAAAGTACTCAACCAACTCTAGGACGAACGGGCAAAAGGCAATTGACAAAGTAGTAAACGAGATAGCACAAGATAGGCCTACATATATAGATACTTTCTTTTCAGCAGTTTCTCTTCAATATCTGAAGACAAAATACAAAAACACTATAAGACTATCTTGACAGACCCACTCTCCACCGACAACTGCAACACTGTCTACTGACAACTATGACACCTGCCACTCACATGTGACACTGTCCACTGACAACTATGACACCTGCCACTCACTGTGACACTGTCCACTGACAACTATGACACCTGCCACTCACTGTGACACTGTCCACTGACAACTATGACACCTGCCACTCACATGTGACACTGTCCACTGACAACTATGACACCTGCCACTCACATGTGACACTGTCCACTGACAACTATGACAGATGCCACTCACCTGTCACACTGTCCACCAGCACCTGCCACTTGGGCATCTCTTGCTCTAGGTGTCGGATGTCTCTCTTGTTACGCCGGTCAACCAGGGCCAGTTCTGTAGAGGAGGGGGGGGGATGACAAAGGATCTTAGCAAGCGAGTTTAAGAAGCACACATACAATAGTCATAACAGACACAAATAATGACGTTTGTTTGTTCGCATAAAGAGAAGCACACCAACACAATAATTGTCATTTAGTGCAAGTTGTGAAAAAGTCAGACAGACGGACATAAACAACTGAGGGAAAGAAAAGAAGTAGGACCTTCCAGTGGGGCCCTCCAACCACCGACAATAATCACGTGATACACTAAGAACATAACAAATAGAGGCGTCAAGAACACAGAACTAAGGTATTATGCAACAAGCCGAGATAACACAGAGAATCAGAGGATAAGGTGGGTACACACAAAGAATCATGAAAACATTAAAAACACAAAGAGCATCTCACAATAATATACCAAAAACACAGAGAATCACATAACACAAAGAGTACACACAGAAAATCATAAGACACGGAAAACATTATTAGTTTAGCTTAGAAAGAGTTTTACGGCACTTGCAACACATAAGGTCATAAAAGTGTCGAAGATTAGGTGTCACAAGAGAGTAACAAATACAACAACAAAAAAATGGAGGAGAGATAAGGACTTCAGATGTTTGATAGGAACGAAGGAGCAAATCACACTAGTGCACACGCCAACCACCCGCTGCAAACATATAACCAGTAGCAGGCGGCACAGTAAAAACCAACACAGCATGGTAAGCTATGAGTTTGATGACTCTTTCCACAATGTGAAGTTACTAAAAAGGCAGGATCTCTAATTTTAGTGTATATCTCTTTCAAGATCAAACCAAGAAGGAGAATTCTGAAAAGAGTAAAAACAACCCAAGTTCAAGAATACCAGGGGGGTTATCAGCATCATACAAAAGGAGCTAACAAACTGCACAATAGGAACAAAAAAAACCCCCAAAACATCAAGAACAAATTGTTTAGTTTCAGTAAAATTTTTACTGTAATTTACATCACCTGCTACACAAATACGAGTAGGTCATAGAAGTGCCCAAGATTAGAGGTGTTACTAAAAACTAACTTAGTTTTGTTAAGTTTTAGTAGGTTTTACAGCGCTCGCAACTGCACAAGGTCATAAGAGCGCCAAGGGGTGGATGTCAACAGAGAGGTCTTTACAGGGAATCAGGCTTACTCTGCTCACCTATCTAGCTTCAACAGCCCAAAGTTGACTATCAAGGCACCCCAGAAATAGCGGGTCACAGGAGTGTGACAAAGATACAAAAGAAGTGGAGGAAAAATGACGATAGTAAGGATTAGGAAAGAAAAAGCAGCGGTTCCCTGTTGCAGTTCAGGCACAGTTATGAGCATGACACTGATGAATCAGCCCATTTACAATTCTACTCTACTGCGCATAAGAACATGTTAATGTACCCCCTTTGGGAATGGCCTAAAGACACTTCAGTCAGTAGCACCGCCCCGGGGGGTGAAACTAACTTAGAAAAGGAGGAGGAGAAATAAGTATGATACATGTTTGATAGGAAAGTAGGAGTTGCCAACACCAGAATGTTTGTCAGCCATCTGCAATTCAGGAACAAACAACACAAGCATTAAATAATGGCAAAGAGACAGTGCAACTGACTGAGGCTTTAGAAGACAGAAGCCTTGAGCAGACCACAAGGTACAGAAATAAAACAGCCAGAGTGTGTAGTAGCACAGCACAGTAACAACAGACACTGACAGCAGCTCTATCAGTGTCAAAACAGCCAAACATCAAATGGTCAACATCCATTTGATGCGGTCACTCTTCCAACCATAGAAGCTAATAATGCCCTTTGGAATCACAGAGAAAACAGCTGAGTAAAATTGCTGGAAGGAAAACACTACTCACCTTGTTCCATGGCCTCGTCCGTTCCATCTCTGGGGGAACAGAACAATACACAGTCAAACAAACACAGACGGGGGAGGGGGCTCTATGTGAGTTACACAATCTACATGACACAAACACAGACGGGGGAGGGGGCTCTATGTGAGTTACACAATCTACACGACACAAACACAGACGGGGGAGGGGGCTCTATGTGAGTTACACAATCTACACGACACAAACACAGACGGGGGAGGGGGCTCTATGTGAGTTACACAATCTACACAACACAAACACAGACGGGGGAGGGGCTCTATGTGAGTTACACAATCTACACGACACAAACATAGGAAGAGTTTCACCACAAATGGTGTTATACGCAAAAATCCTCGACGTATAACTAATATTCAGGTTTGAATCTGTTTTAGTTATAGTAGAGGTTTTATGGCGCTCACAACTGCATGAGCGCCAGAAGATTAGGTGTTACAAGATAATAACAAACATAAAAAAGAAGAAGGGGAGATAAGGTTGATAGATGTTTGAAAGGAAAGAAGAAGCAGACCACATACTGAATCTTCCTAGATAGAACAAGTCGTGCAAAAAATATTTTTCCCAAAACACTTTAAAACCCTCTTATTTTGGCACATGTGACATAAAATCAGCATAACTTCACAAAATGTGCTATAAGCTTCCACCTACTTTTCACATGATGCATTAGACATGAGCCAACAAATGTAAAACAAGGGCAACTTTGAGATATAAGTACATCAAATAAAGTAACCATCCCCAGGGAAGTTTATTTGGGATACATTTGTCAACATAACCAAACATTCCAACCCTCTGAACCTGCAAGGCTTATAGGCTGGACTGTTTGTCTGTAATATTGATATAGTTTGTCTTGTCATGGCCTCTTAGCAACACTGTCGCTGAGTAATTCTAAATCTACCGAATGCCGAATGCCCCAAAGTGAACTAAACGAAAGTCTCAAAAGATCATATAGAATCTAAATCCAACGAATCACATAATTCTAAAAATATGTCGACTCTATAAATTCATTTCAACAGAAATTTAGAAATTCACAGGAGTTCTAAAGCACGTACCTCAAAACTATCACTTAAAGAGAATCAAGCCAGAAAAATCCTCAATGTGCTTGCTTGGTGACCCATCCACAAAACAGCCCAACACCTGCTCTATCAAATGTCCCACACTATAGGATCTAAAGTGGCAACTTCTTCCTCTATTCCCACCACCATCTGCTCCACCTATTTTAACCTGTCTGGGGCCGTAGGTCACATGCTCAAAGGCCGCTGGATTAACAACAGCAGCCATTACACCATTCCAATAAACAAAAGGACGCCCCATCTGGCAACTTACTTGACTTCATCATCATTCATGAAGTCCTCAATGTCTGACAGGTTCAGGATGTGGTCCCCTCTGGGCATCGGCTGAACTGGAAAAATTAACAAGGAAAACAGTATATTGAGTGTACTTGTTGACCCCAGAGACAGAAACAAAAGCACCCGCAGGCAACACCACACACATTCCTCTACATGGAGGTTACCTTAGCCTCAAGGTGGCCAGCAACAGAAGACAAAATAATACAATCCTTTATTTCCACAAACCTTCTCTAAAGATCACCCGTCCAAGACAATCACCTCCAGTATAAATAACCACTTCCCTGCTTCCGTTTCTTTTTAAATACACTGCCCAAGATGACTATCTGCCTAAATTAACAACTCTTTTCCTCCACACTGGACGGTCGTCTTGGAGAGGTTTGACTATTTGAGAAAGGTTTGACTATTTGTGTAAAAATAGGGGGCTGCACATAACTTTATGAACAGCTGCATTTGGCCTGGAGGCCAGTTTGCAGATCCCTGGCTTACAATTCTTAGCTTTTCATTGTGTTGTACTATTTTTAATTGACCGATTGTATTTAGTTCAGAGAGAGAGCAAAAGGATGGGTCACTTATATTACAGTTTGATTTTACAAAGGTAGTCGTCTTTTGGCTCTACTTTAAAAATCAAATAACCAACAGCTAAGTTCCCTTTCTGATCAAGCAAAATTCTTGCTTGCTTTTGTTTGGCTGTGGAGGGGATTTGCAGGAAAACGTGGAGAGAAATGTTCTTGCACTAGATCTGTTACCTGTCTGATCAGGCAACAGGTGGTACTGCTTCATGAGCAACCAGTGGCAGTGCAGCGTCTTGGGGGTGCGGGCCGGGTGGAAGACGTCCGGATGCTGCTGTAGCAGCGACTGGAAACTCTCCAGGGTCGGCTGACTGGTCTGGGGAGAAAGTCGGGATAGTCATCAAGATGGGTACTTCACAATGACAACAGTTTGGTGCTGGGGAAAACAGTTATGCTGATGGCCAAGGGTGGGGGGACCAGATAGTGGATCTGAGAATATAGTCACAACCTGTCCAAAACAACCACCCACTATGGTCATCTTAGACAGTTGTCCTCTTGGACAGTGTCATTATAAAACATGTGTGGTGACATCAGGTGCTTGTCAAAACAATGAAATCAAAGAAACCGGCATTTTTCCCCCGTTCGTTTAGCAATTTCTGTCAAATTTTTGTTTTTCGGCTCAATAACTTTCAAGTCCATTTAAAATTCACTGAGAAACTGATTAAAGGCACAAAAAATGTCATTTTGCAAGTCTCCAAGAACTCTCAAGCTTTGGAAGTCACCTAACTTTGGAGGCCATTTTCTCACTAATTTTAACACTGAAACCAGGCGACCTCCACTTCCTTTAACCGCAAATATCTCGACTTCTATTCAAGATAGAGGCCTTAACAAGGTACCAATAACTCTACAGACAAAAAAAATCTGACGAATGCCTGACTACACCGCATCATGACACATATAGCAAAAATCGCAAAGAGGGAAGTGGGAAGTGGTAGTCTGTACCGGTGACAGTCTTGGGAAGGTGGTTGTTGGAGCAGGTTCCACTAGTTTTAACCCTATCCGTACGTCAAGTTTTACTGTCATATCTATACGACTTGGGGAACTCAGTGCCACCACTTTCCAAAGAGAAAATTTACTCGTTAATCCGATCCGTACGCTTTGCATAGCAATCTGTCAAAATGATTTTTTGAGAAATGCTGAAAGTTTCAAAGAGATCTTCGCACTAGAAGTATTCTAAAATGTGAAGAATACAACCCCAGGGTACAAAATGACTCCAGGGCGTATGGATAGGGTTAAGTAACTCCTGTACACTGCAATATAATGCGTCCCCATTCAATCATCAACAGCAAACAATACAAACTTAGAACCTGTATGAGTAAGGCCTTTTCAATCAAGAAAGAACAAACAAATACTTTTCTATAGGAATCAGCCAAAGACTAAAATGTTAAATGTTTGTCCTTTTGGAAAAGGCTGAGTTTATTTAATCAACTTCAGCCGCCTAGTAAAGTAAATGTCAAGAATGTCAACTGATTTAGACACCCAATGCGTACTCAAACACAATGAAAAATGGTGCAAAAACCTACAGCTTCTATTACATCAAAGGATTTAACTCGTAACAGGCAAATGCTAAAGTTAGACGTGCGTGACATAGTGGCATAGACTGTCTGCGTCAGGTAGTTTTTCTCCCCTTATACAGTTGGCAGTGAGTACGGATAGCCGAAATTATTAAAATTATAAAAAAATTGGAATCAGAGGTATTACCATCGTATTTTCGTAAAACTGAATAAAAATCTTGACGATTCTACCAAATTTGTAATGATAGGCAGCCCTGCAACCACCCCACTCGTCCTGACTCACCGAGGCAAAAGTTCCTAGAAGCTTTTCCTCAGCACTGCTGTACAAGGCCTTGCCCTGGATGGTGGCTACCGTGTCGGAGTGGAGCTGCCTGGCCGCCTCCATGGCGATTCTGGAACAGACAACATCAACAAACTTATTCCAAGGATACTTCTTGTAGTGCTGGGTAGGGCGAACTGATCCAGCGTCTGCCAGTAATGATTATGGTTTGCTGATTATACTCGAAAACGAACAGACCGACCACAAACCGTCCAGTAGTGAATATTCGTTTGCTGCACCTCTGGCACTGAGATTCCTTGCAATGCACACTACTACTACTACGACTACTACGACGACGACAACGACTACTACGACGACGACGACCACTACGACTACTACTACTACTACTACTACTATTACTACTACTACACTACCACCACCACCACCACTACCACTACGTCATGTACAAGCCTGTGTCATTTATAGAGAGATATGTTCAAACCCAAATCACAAAGTCAAAACTGTACGTCGTGTTCTACTATCATATCCACATGATGCAGGGAACTCTGTGCCACCACTTTCACAGAGGAAATTTACTCGTTAATCCGATCCGTACGCTTTGCATAGCAGTCTGTCAAAATGATTTTTTGAGAAATACTGAAAGTTTCAAAGAGATCGTACTAGAAGTATTCTAAAATGTGAAGAATACAGCCCCGGGGGTACAAAATGACACCAAGGCGTGCGGATAGGGTTAACAGTTATATATTTGTCAACGGTGTAGACAACCCTGGTTCAAATCCCAAAAGAAGCATTCTAGAACTTCTGTTGTTTGGAGCCTTTTGAAGGCCCCTCCCTTATTTGTCTCTGCCCTATCAAAGACAGACTTTAACTTAAGCGTTCCCATCTCTTAAATAACCTCCCAGTATGAGATAGGGCATTTAAACCCTCACTATTCCTAAAATACAGAGATGCACTATAGCTTGTTCACTTTCATCTAACCGCTATTAAAACAAGATAAAATCAAATAGCTCTGTTTAATCTTCTCAGATCTTTGCATACGGGTCTAAAAGTTGGATGACCAACAGAATCTAAATGCCCGCTCATAAATATCACTGCAAACTAACGTTCTAACATGTTTTCCTTGATGTTGGCCTACAGCAGGTCAAAATAATAATAGGGGATTTACAGCATACACACCTAAAACATTAAAAAGTCGACACATTTTCATCAACACACAATTTAAATTATGTCTAGGAAACACAGTCAAACAAACGCTGGAGAACTTTTTAAGACTCATGTGGAGACGTCTAGACAATCATGGTATATAATCTACTAGCTTACACTGAAAAGTGAGGGTAGGGGGGTATCATTGTCTTATAATAAGAATTTGTAGGCGAGATTACTGTAAATAATCCATTTCAGTGATCCTGTGTATAAACCCAAAGAGCAGTTTTTAATACATGGGCCAAATAGAAAAACTTTGTTTATTACAAGACCAAGACCAAAACTCTTTCTAAAAATATAAAAACGTTCGTTTAGTTGCTGCAGAAGTGCCATGCAAAGTTTCGAGAGCATGGGTAAATTAATAAATGAGCTAGAATTTTTTAAGGCAGACAGTCAAAAGTGAACACGCTATAGTTGGTTTTCCCCTGCAGGACCAGTTATTTCCTCGACTTCCAGGTTGATCATTCATTGTTTTGGTGAACTGAAATAATTTGTTTTTAAAAAATCCAGGGCCTTTTCTACCTCAGCGAGTCCTCGGCTTCACCACCTTGACAAATGACAACAATGCATTTATATTTCAATCACAAAGTGTACGATTTTCTACCCTTGGTAGACTGCCCCAAACCACTTTGGAAGGCTCAAAGTGTGTGACAAAAACACAAAATAAACAATTCAGAACTGTGACAGAGACATACAAGAGATAAGTTGCCGGGCAACGTAAGCATGCCATCGGTCACTCACTTTGAGATAGACTGGTCATAGAGTAGAGCGTACCACCGCTCCTCCACTTCCTTCAACGTGAAGCGGCAGGAGAACTTGACCCCCGTGTGCACTGCGGCAAGGTCATTGGTCTGAAATGGAAAAATAAATACTAGAGAAAATCAAGAGAGAGGCAAAAGAACAAGTGATAGAGCGCCACATGTGCAAGTCCGAAAATTCATGCATGGACCTGACCTTCGAGACAGAAAAACAAGTTGGAGTTGAAGAAAGAGACAACTTCAACACAAAGACAGTCATATAGTGCTGGAAAACACCAAGGCAGACAGAAATTATAGAGGGACAGAAAAGAAGTACAAATTACTTGCGGTGTCCTCCTATCTACCTGCTGTAAAAAAAGCAAGTCTCTTAACACAAATGGATTCAACACCTAAAACAAAATTCCTCCTACGACGTCCCTGGATAGATTTCATAGTCTGGCCTTAGCAATTATTCTCATCCAGCCGGCAAAGGAAACATTTGCAGACTGACCTTGGCCATCCGTCTTGTCCTCTCCCCATGCCATGCAGGTCCCATCATCAATACACAACAATATGGCATCACCCCAGTACACAGACATACGATGACCTTGGGCCATTAACTCACCCAGCCCCAACACCGATAGTATTGGTATGCGCGCACAACGCTCCAACCCTAACGCAGACAGTATCGGTATGGAAAATTTTGCTCTCGTGACCGAAAACACTACTTTTGTGTGAAGTAGCCAAACTGGAAGAGTAACCATTTTTCGTTTGAAACAGACTATGACCAGAAGTGCAAGCCCATATTTAGAACAAAGAAAGCTATATTCGTGAACCATGTGAGGGGGTGCGAAATTTCAACGCACTTCACTTTTTGTTTACTTTTTGTCTCTGTATATAGACCTTTTTCCATGGAGTATTGCATAAAAACTAAGAAATATTTTGCCTTCAAATTTTCAATACATACAAATAAACGTTTGAATAAAATGTGTACCAAATTTGGGTGGGACATGTTAAGATTTAGGGGGGGGGGTTTTTTCAATTTTTCAAAAAGTGGTAAAAATCTCTAGGAAGAGCTGACAACCCAGAAGTGTAGGCCTAGGATTGAGTGAATTAACTGTGGCACGATACCGCATTCAATCTCTACACTGACATCCACCCCC